CCACCACCGCCCGGCCTAATAAACTTTTAATGATAACTTGCACCCAACCTTAATTATCTTGTAGGCAGGGTGTGCTGTGATCAAAGTCAATACAAGACCTCTTTTAATTAATTTTTTAAACTTTATTTTATGTGCATTGGTATGAAGATGTCAGATCTGAGCTGGAGTTAACAGTTGTGAGTTGCTATGTGGGTGCTGGGAATTGAGTCCTCTAGAAGAGCACTCAGTGCTAACTCCTGAGCCATCTCTCCAGCCCCAATACAGACAGGTCTTGTAACATGTTTATTTACTGACAGTTTAAGAGCTGGAGATTACTGAGTGAAAGTTTATTACGGTTAGCTTCTCTGTCCCAATTTTATTCTCCCCTCCCCCCCAATCACCCACAGAGGAAAGGACACAAATGCATGCTCCTTTTTGAAGTAAAACTTACCCCTTGGAAAAATAAGACATTGATTCCTTTTCATTTTTATATGTGCTGGTGTTTTGCCTGCATGTCTGTCTGTAAGGGTGTCTGACATCTGGAACTGGAGTTAAAGAACAGACAGTTGTGAGCTGCCATGTGGATGTTTGGAATTGAACCAGGGTCCTCTAGAAGAGCAGCCACTGCTCTTAACCTTTGAGCCATCTCTTTAGCCCTGGAAAATAAGACATTGTAAGTGGAAAAATTATTTTTGCAGTTGAGAAGACACTGATCAAATTTATACCATGTGTTTCCCTGCTTATTAAAAGTTGTGCTGGAGGCTATACATGGGGCTGCAAGTTTGAACACTAAGCCATGTATGATGATGTACACAATAACCACAGCATTCAGATAATCTATGACAAGATTACCATTTGAAGGCCAGCTTGGTCTCCTTGAATCAATTTCACATGTAAAAGAGGCACTCTAAATCCCCACCAGGACTGCGGAATTCCCTTTGTAATGATTCTTTTTAGGAAGCCTGCACCTATGTCTTTCTTAGGTGTATACTGCCCTTTTCCTGTTCACTCTAATGGCTATACTTACATAGGGTAAA